CCCCCCCCAAAAAAAAAACCTTTTATCATGTCTGAAATTCAGAACTATCCCGTGTCCTGTGCACACTTCCTGTAATATCTCATGGGGCATATTTAGCCCTCCCAGTTCTTATCTTGGACTACAGCCTAATTAGTGTTTATGTTGTGGAGAATGGGATAGTAGGGGAGGCTTGAGTAGTTTAGCAAAAAGGTCACTGGGCAAGGCTGACACCACTCTGAGCTGAGAGCATTTCTGGCTATTCAACAGGTATTCTTCTGTACTTGTATTTAAAGGGATAAAACACTGGAAAATGTGCATTCATGGCAGAGATGTAGTGCATATGTTTTGTTTACTTATTTTGCTCTAACATACACTAGCATAAGGAAAATAAATTTGGACTTCAAAAGCTTTTAAATGTATAACACAATGTTGCTACAGTAAGAAATGCAGCGCTGCATAGTTTCTCCTATTTTGTATGTAAGAAAACTGTTCCTGGAGACCTCCACCTTAATCCATTCTCAGCATCATGTTTTCATATTCTGACTGGACAATCAAGGAAGGCCTGGAGCAAAGCAGACCCCAAACAGAGTCCCAGCAGCATTTAAAAAAATGCTTGGGACAGTGCAAGACAATTCTTGGGATAAAGATAGATCTATACAAAAAGGTTAAAAAACCAAATAAAAATAAAATAACTGGCAGACTCGATAGACCACTATCTGCTGTCACTTTTCTATGTTATTATGAAGTGCAGTTATCTTACTGCTGCAGCTTGCCCAGGACCAACGAGAGAAAATGGCTATGCCTAGAAGATTTTACCCTCACAGATGTTAGTGACAGTGTTCTTGGATCAATTCTTGCATACCAATTTGGACTTTCCCTCTCAGGGTTTTGGAATGAGTTGAAAAAGACCATGGCAGTGGTCTATGTGAATTATAAAAGTATTTGTAGTAGATAGATTAATATATACAGATGCATAATGTGGACTGCAAAAAATAAAGGAAGGGGCACATTGTTTAATGTTGTGGGTTCATAGGACAGCCACTCCCCTTTTCTCCTGCATCTTTTATTATATATACTGTATATATTGGTTAGCATCCTCTTAAATATCCTGAGGTCATATTGCTATGGTGTTTTTTCTTCCTACTCTCTCTTTTCCAGTTGCAGGTGTGACGATGGTTGTTGGGCAGAATCCTAAAAAAAGCAAAGCTGTTGCTGAGGAAAAAAACATCAAGTTTACTGACCTGTCACTGGACATTTAGCTTCAGTGGCAGATCAACAAGCCAACGACTACACTTCATGGACTTCATATTCCTTTGATAGCAATTTATTGTCAGCACTTTCCGTCAACAGGGATCCTTCCTTCCCTTCCCTAGTTCTTGACGGCATGCTTTAAGGTGGTAATATTGCCCACACAATGGAGTGGACAAGGTGTTGTATGAATTTTACAGTTATTTTATAAATTATGATAGGACTTGAGTCTCATCACTAAGCCTTTGGTTTATATTCTAAAACTGTTAAAGTTTTATTTAGCCCCAATAAACGGCCATCATAATGCAAGTGTGTGGTGTCTATTTTTAATACCGTATGTATTGCATTGTATTATAACTATACTATCTCCTTTCATTTTGTAATGTACTTTGCAAACTGTTGGAATTATCTCAATTCTGTATAATAATATTAATAACAATAAAAGTTAAGGTTTGATGTAGTGGGGAGGTAGAGCACTGTGCAATCCCATGTTCTTCTATTGTCCAGATTACCTGATGGATCACCATAGATTCCTGCACAACCTGTTTTTGTGACATAGGCAACTGCAGATTATATTTAATGTAATGTAGGTTGTCATTTTGGACTTTCTAAAATTGTAATATCTAGTTCAGTTTGTTACCAATGTTACGTTATAGCTGGAAATGTCAGAAAAGATTTATTTTGTCACTCCACCTTTTCACTATTGAAGGCTATGACTGATTAAAAGGTAAATGAGGTGTGGGGGCGGAGGAAGAAGCATTTCTGAGGTATTACCTGAAAATGACAGTCATGTAAACAAAGTTTAGCAGGTATAAAGTGCAGGTACCTGCCTCATGTACATTGCTATTGCCCTTTACAAAGACGAACCAATAGGAAATTTGCAAAGTGGGAAAGAATTGGCAAGCTTTAAACATACTAGAAAGTGTTGGAGTTGCCAAAAAGAAGGACTTGGTATTTAGGCATAGTGATGGGGACTACAGGCATGTAGAGTTACTTCTGAATGCCTGAATGTTATTTTTTTAAGTTGAAGTAATATACATGAAAATAAATAAGTATCACAGGGGACAGAATACAGGGTATGATGTGATTTTCTGCTTCTGTCAATGTGTTTGCATACTCTCTATTTAATAGCATGAAGCTTATGATATTGGGGTTCATTTACTTAAGGAATAAATAATATTAATTTAAACATAAATGTCTCCATATTCTTAGTGAAAAAGGTGAATATGTGTTAATGTCAATAATCCAACCAACTTGGATTATTGTCAATAATCCAACTAAAGGTGCCCATACACCTTTCGATAATCGTATGCGATCAACTTTTCGTACGACAATCGTAACGTGTGAATAGAGTGCCGGACCGATAGTACTGTACAATCGTATGACTTTTGACGGTCAAGCATGCTTGAAAACTTTGGTTGATCGTACGATGTTCGCATGGTTGGTGGCGTTTCCGTCCGTCAAAAGTTGTACGATTAACTCTGCGCATTCGCAAACTAAAATAATTGCAGTCAATTACCGCAAGTCGTCCAGGTGGTTTTTTTAAACTACCGCTGATTGAACCTTGCGATAATCGGGGCAGGATGGGGCCGATCATTGGTTCAACCCGGTTCGATCATCGGACGAAAAGTTTTGTCCGATAATCGTAAGGTGTATGGGCACCTTTTAGATGGCAAAGTCCAGAACTAGGCCCAGGTGCTGTGTCCAATTTTATCTTCTGTTCATAGAAGGACACAGCAAAGATCAATAGATCTTGACCAACTGAGACATCAACAAGCAGTGAACCACAACAGGGTGGGGTAGGAAGGAAACCACCGGAGTTGACATGTAAACCCAGGACATTAAACCGACGCCTATAGGACCTTAGGCCCAAAACTGGCATCTGAAGAAACAAAAACATCAACCCTATAAAACTTGGTAAAAGTATGGACAGAGGACCATGTGGATGCTTTACAGACTTCAGAAACAGAAGCATGATTTTGAAAAGCTCAAGAACCACTCATAGCCCAAGTAGAATGGACAGTGATGGAAGATGGAGGTTGCCAACCCCGGATAGTATAAGCCTGGAAGATCGTCTGATGAAACCAGCTGGAAATTGTTGATGAAGAAGCAGCCTGACCTTTTACAAGGACCATCCATAAGAACAAAAAGTGAATCAGTTTTACAAAAGGATGCTGCCACCTCCAAATACATTCTGACAGCTCGACAACATCCAGTGTAACACCTGTTCCAACTGATGAACTGGCCTGTGACAGAAGGAAGGCAAAACAACAAGGATTGAAGACTAAGAGGGTTATTCACGAGGAGCCGAATGATCCAGTCGTTGCTTCGGCCAATACTTCAAACCGAAGGGCTATTCACAATAGCCCGTACAGCAACCGAAGGCAGCCAAGCGGCTTACCCGTGCCGAACGTATGTGCTTTGGCTCGGCTGACCCGTAGTGACAACCGAAGCATGGAGAAAGGTCGGCCTAACGTCCGACCGTTCTCCATGCAAATGACAGCTGGGTAGAGCCAGCCGTGATCTCACGGCTGGCTCCGCCCAGTTGCAATGACAGATCAGCATCCTCAAATTACCTGGGAACGCTGATCTGTCAGTAAACAACAATTGGGCAGATCCGGCTGTGACGTCACGGCTGGCCCCGCCCACTTGCTGGAAGACTCTGACAGGTTCCAGCAAAATGTAAACAGTTGGGCGGAGCTAGCAGTGATGTCACAGCTAGCTCCACCGAATTGCTTATATTTTGCCGGGATCTGTCAGATTCCTAATCCTGCGGCGGAAGTTCGTCGTGTGCGGTTAGGTCGGCAGGTGTCATCTTTTGAAAAAAACTGTTTTACATTATTTTGTCGAGTCGTCTCGGACAACGCTGGACGTCGCGATTGATTTTAGGATTAGGTCGGTGGATTTATTTT